GAACAAAATTTGATTACAGCTGCACAGAAGTTATACTTCTTCAGTTCAAACATGCCTTTTTTTTAAATCGAATAAAAGTTCAATCTCCTCCAGTCTCAGCTATTTAAATTTCCATTTCTTGAATTCTTTGTTGCTGGGTGGTTAAATGAACATTTTACAGAACTGGCCATGTTAATGAAAAAAATAAACTAAATTATCAGTTTAAGCAGAACATACTTTGGATTGGATACATAAGTAATTTAAAACACTGTTTTAACACGTCCTACTGTAATGCACAATCATTCATTTTTCACAGTATGGTATCAAATGACAAAGAAAAATAAATTTGTTTACAGATAAATATGTAACAGATAACATCTGTGTATATGGATATGTTTAAACATAGTCATTATTTTCATTACACAAACAATACTTTTTAAAAGTTTTCTGTAGTTGTTAAAATTCAAATATCAGGAAAAGTAAACAGTTATGTTATCTGTAAATGAAACACAGTTGACTGTCCATTTAAACAACAGTAACCTGTGCTAGCAGATAAATATTTTTACAGATATTTAAATTTTATGTTATCAGTACCATGGTTTATTATATCAGAATGAGCAACACATGTAGTCTGACACAACTGATTGGTGCGCTTACAAAGCAATGCAAATGATAAATTCTGAGGTTACTTGTGTTATCCTAAAGATAATTAATGAGGAAGAAAGGAAACAAAGAATTTTACAAAAACCTATTCTGCTGTAGCACTGTCCACCATGGACTGTTGCCCTGAATGACTTTTGAACCAAAATATGATACCCACTTGAATTAATGGACCATGCAACAGATAGTGAATGATATTACACTGCATTATCTCCATGACTAGTATATGAGCTGCCACAAATTATTCACACAAACTGTAAAGCCCAACATCAATGACTGTCAAAATTTAGTCTCTTAACAAATTCTGTATTTGTTAATTATAATGTTCCTTCCATTCATGAAATGAGAATTTCCACATCCTCTAATTCTGTAAGAGAATCATGGGTGGCTCAGTTAATACAGTGTCTGACTACGGACTAGACAACTGGGGTTTGATCACCAGCAGGGGCAAAAGATTTTTCTTCTAGCCTCTGCATGAAAAATGGCTCTGGGGCCCACCCAGCCTCCTAGCCAACAGGTACTGGGGGGTCCTCTCTCTGGAAGTAAAGTGTGGCCAGGGCATGGCACTCACCACTCACCACCATCTAGCGCTGAAGGCAAGAACGAGTAGGAGTTACCTTCTCTTCCCAAAGTGCCTCCATGGTGTATAGTGGGAGAGCCCTGCATGATGCAGTGAAAACATCTTATCCTTTGGAGAGATATGGACAGGTTGCACTTTTAGTATGCTTTATGATAGCAGGTACAATATTTTACTGAAACGATTCGAAACAAAAATGATGCTAGAAGAAGAAAAATAAGAAGACTGATAAAGTTCAAGCAAAATCTAAGCTCAATCCAACCTCTACGAAATTCTAAATATAACCAGCTAATGTACAGATAACTCACTGCATATCTTCTACTTCCAGAATTACAGAGCAACATGTCACAACAGTATCATCTGAAGCTTTCAGTTACCAAGCGTAATGAATTCTTCTCGGGCTATGAACCATGTAAGTTGGTTTAATGGAGAAAACACCAGCATTTCGAGAACCAGCTTCATCCTCATCCTCAGTGTATTCAATACCCAGAGGGCAAAGATGGTTCTCAAAACATTGATATATTCTCAATTAAACCACCTTACATGGCTGGTAGCCTGAGAAGAATTCATTATGTCACAACAGAATGCCAATGTATAACTTTCAATGAGCACAAAAGATTTTGAGAATTCTCTTTACTGAAGCAACATCTTCAACTTGATGCACTACAAAACTTTGTAGTGTAATATGAACTCAAAATTCCATTTGGAACAGAACAAGAAGAGACTAATAGTAATACCTACCACAAATGTTTCTAGAATTTTCCTCGCCAATTCCATACCAAAAGAAGATGAGACAAGCCAAACTACCAATTAAGGTCAAAGCATTTTATACCGTATAACTTCAAAATTCTGTTGAAAATTAAATGTATACTTTCTGAATATTAATTTTAGGTTACGTTGACTAGTACTGATCATGTACTTTGGTGTAAAAACATGCTGATTAATAATGATTAATCAAACATCTTAACATGACCATCTCAAAAATTAAATTTCATTACTACACTAAAAAACATGCAAGTTGTGTTCTGAAATAAATAACAACAAACAGCCTACACTGAGTAACAGACTCAAGTAACACGAGAACAAAATCACCTTGCAATTATCAAAAAGTATGCAGTTTCCTGTTACTGTTCTTGATACAATTATGTAATATATGAAAAGGTTACAATTCTTGTAAAATGCCACATAAACATCTCAAAGTGTAAATACAGCTGTGACATGATAAAATCCATGCTAGTGATACTACTTGCCGATATGGCAACACACAAAAAAACAGGCTAACATTTTAACTTAAAAAGTCTGTCTGAACATGTAATATTTCCCATATAGTTCTGTTGCTATATTAACAGAAATCCACATATCATAAAATATTTAAGAAGGCAATGTCATTGTTACTTAACACGAAGCAAATCATACAAATAAATAGTTATAGGCCACTATGGTTTAAAGTGGATATATATGTAATGTCACCGGTACCAATTCATATTTGAAGTAATTTTTATATATGGAGTTATATAACAAATTTGAACTTATCTTCTCAAGACTTAGTCTCATCTTACTTTTCCATCCCCAAAATTTTATGAATTGTACAAAGTTTCAAATTAATATTTCCAGCTAGTTCTTAAGTTTCGGTATTGAAAGCTAAAAACTCATTTTTTTATGTTTTATATAATTACGTGTTTTGTGGCATAACATGGGGAAAAATGATGTGATGTGTGACTTCATGGGTTGTTACACACCCAATTATAGGAATCCAACTAGATTAATAAAACTGAAGTTGCCAATCAGACAAAGCCAAAATTAAATCCTGATCACACTCATACATTTCCTGAAAAGAAGTAAAAAAACATTGTGTCCAATAATCTATCAACATGTTAGAATGTCAACAACATTGAGGCTATTTTAATGTTAGATAACAAAGTAAACTGCCAACATTATGCATTTTTACAACACAAAATATAAACTGTTAACATTATTCACAAATGCATCATCTCATCCACTTAATAGAAGAATAATGTAACACCTGATTGTAAAAGTGAGAGTAACCACATGAACTTGTGAAAAATGATAATAAGGAGGCAATTTTTTGAAAAGAATTTTCTTTAAACTCACGATCCTATAATCAATTTTCTTCCAAATTCCATACAGAGATGGTCTTATGATATATATTTTTCAAAAATATTATTACACAGATCAGTATCTTAGATGTAGAAATGGACTATCAAAATCCATTCTCAAACAGCAGACTTTCCTCAGTGTGTTATACACATACAAAAACAAAGATGATTTCAGCTGCTTACTATTTTGAAATTACAATTTCAGTAACAATACTAACTAAATCAATATACCATTTGTACTTATATAATTTGTCTTATTCTTTTTTAAATTCTAAAACACGGAGGTGAAAAATTCTCGCGAAACATCACACACAGTTTTAACAATGTTTCAGAACTGAACAGAAATGTATAGACTTTCAAGCAAGAATTAAGATTAATTCTGGTATTGTTTATTGTTGGGTCTGTTGCCATATCGCTATTACAAACAACCGACTCTCAACTATTTACTAAAAATAGTACAGGAAGGAGAGAAAGTGTCCTGTTTTCTTCTAGCATTGTTTCCAGTCTCTTCTGGTCGATCGATGAAAAGTCGCCTCCAACTTCTTCTATCTTCAAATTGATTTCATGCCAGTAATTAGTTCCCTCTAGTCTTCATGTCTTCTCATTCCTTGCCAAGGTCGTCCTATAGGTATTTTTATTTTAAATTTTAATTCTAATGGTTTTCTTAGTATCCTTGTTTTATCCACTATCTTTACATGGAAAACCATTGTACGTATTTGTCTTCTAATTCTATGAACATATTTTTATCCCTGTTCCTCTTCTAAAAATGTAATTTCTAATTCTATTCCTTGTTTTTCTCTCAATATGTCTAAAAAAAGTGATAGTGGAACCACAGTTCCGGAGAATTTGACGTAAATACGTCTATACGGAAAGGAAGTTTATATATTGGCATTATTCTAAATATTTCCTTTATACATGCTTTATAATTGAGATAAGTTTGATTAAGACATTGCTTATTCAACTTCAATTAGTTACGCTTAAAATGGGTCTGTGATAGCTGAATGTAATGTAAAGTAATGTAATGCTTTTTCGTTTCCCTTTTTCGTAACACATTTTTGCCGAATGACCCTTCCTTATAGACGTATTTACATCAAAAATACAGGTCCTACACAAATAACTGTGTAACAGGATTTGAGGTTTTCATGGCCGGTAGTATCAAGATGGCTGTCTTCTGGGTTGTTGCGCCATGTAGTCTGGTAGAAGTTTACCAACATTTCAAAGGTCCTTGTTACCTCCATCATCACAACTCATCGCCCTGATAATGGAGGCAGCAAGGATGTATGAAACATTGGTAAACTACCAGATTACATGGTGCAACAACACAGAAGACAACCATCTTTGAACTGTGTAGCATGTTTTTGAAGCCAATGGTAAAAATCAATTGTTTCTTCCTCATGCAGGAAATGAGAGAAACTATACAAGTAAATATAATAATTTAAACAAACTTCCCAATGATATATAAGGAGTTTATGAGGATATTAAAATCAATTACTTTATGGGTGCCTTCTATATTACAACCAGTCATGCATCCTGTTATATTGACTTCTTCCACCTTGGTAACACAAAACTACGAAACACTGTTACACTCAATGACCATAAAATGGAAGTCATTATTCTGAAGTAACTGTGCGTATGTGTGTATATATTGTATACAACAGAGTGTGCGCGCATGTGTGTATGTGGGTTCATAGTGGCCTGTTCCAATTAAAATTCACTGTATGTCCAAACAGACTTTACATTAGGCCCATAATATTATGTAAATAATTTACATATTACATCTCTTTAAAAAATAACTGACTAGGGAAACCATAGCTGTAAAGGGCCCAGCAAACCTTACGTGCAAATAAATCTTCTGTGTGAATGGCAAACTCATGTATCAACAAGGCAGAAAATGAGACACTACCTGATCCCAAGTCATTTAAAATAGCTTTCAGCTTAATGACTTAGTAAGAAACTGGCGGTTACCAGACACAATTCTTAACACATAAGCTTTGATGTATGAGAAACATGAGATTACTTATTTATGAATGATAATGATTCAATAAACTACTCAATACGTAAACATCTTGTGGCTGCATGGTAGCCAATATTTCAATAGATGCCCTCCATAAAACTGGTATCTAGACTTTGAATAAGTGTACGAATGAATGCCATTTCCTTACGAGCATTCTCAAAGATGATACGTGGATCCTCTGACATGCAACGGAGGCAGTTGGGAGCCATTACCATGGCAAGATTATTAGCATCCATCTTGGTTATTTGGACAACTTCTGTGCGGGCAAAAATCTACAACAAAATAATGATATTATCATAACAATAAAACAAATCCTGTTAATAAGTTCAGCATCAAATAAACTTTCAGCCCTACATTACTAAGAGCCACCACTGCTCATATAAAAGTAAATCTCCACATCACAATACAAATGTGTTATGTTTAACTTTTATTGTATGGGAATAGGGGATTTAAAACCTTCTCTTATGGGATTCCAGCTGGACTTCAACTCCAAGGTTAAAGGTTTAGTGGTATGCTAGTGTGACACATGGCCAGCTGAATCACATACACATTAAGCAATGTTACAGGGATGATAAAAGGTTATTAGACTTCACACTAATTATGAACTAGCAATAAGAATTGGTAAAAATTTCTGAAAGTCAAGAATGTTCCAAAAGCATAATTATCAGGTATTCTTTGCTGTACTTTCTGATAAAAAGTTGTTCTAGTGCGTTAATACAGACGTTAATAACGCTTGTACAGTTATGAAATCAAACATCTGTTAGTGTGTCAATACAGACGTTAATAATGCCACTTGTACAGTTATGAAATCAAACATCTGGTTCAAAAGAAGCATTCAGTCTCTTTGAATATCCCTGATGGCATCAAATCACTTGTTAAATCGGTAAATCATGTTCTATCGCAAGATATATACAGGCATACCTTGGCGATATTGTGGTTTCGGTTCCAGACCACCACAATAAAGCGAGTCACACAATTTTTTTGGTTTCCCAGTGCATATAAAAGTTATGTTTACTCTATACTGTAGTCTATTAAGTGTGCAATAGCATTATGTCTAAAAAAAGCAATGCGAGAATTACCAAAATGTGACACAGAGACACGAAGTGGGCACATGCTGATGGAAAAATGGCGGCCATAGACTTGCTCGACGCAGGGTTGCCACAAAACCAATTTGTAAAAAACGCAATATATGCGAAGCGCAATAAAATGAGGTCAGCCTGTAACTGCATTCTTTAGACACATTAATTTCAGGATGAGCAGATGACCATAACAAAAACAAACTGAGAAAGCAAACAGGTAAAACTTTTGTTGGATGAAACACATACAAAGACTAAGCCACTACTGATGAAAGAGTGCTGATTGGCTACAAAATGAACTGACTGAACTTACTAACAAATGGTCAGTTCTGCTGATGGAAAAGTTGAGCACCAGGAGAACAAAGAACGTAAGAAAGGAAGCCAATTATCCCAACTGAAACTTAATTTATATTAGTGCTGGACATGAAAAATAAGCCAATGTGCCACAGACACTTCAATCTGATATTGTGAACCAATTTAGCTGGAGGACTGTGGTAACAAAGATGGAACAAATAACACCTGATTCATACTTCAAGCAGCATGAGAAAAATACTTAAACAATGACACATGCCAAATGTACGTTTCTTTTTACTTAAGTTATTGCTACTTACAGAAATCAATCTGAATGTCAATTTCACACATAACACAGGTAGCTCATAACATGGGTACTGAAGCTGTCCGCCAAAACCCAGGTTATATCAAGGTTCCACTGTATTTCAAGTGTTATTACTTTGGTTGTTTTAAGTGCATTAAAGAGGAAACCATTATCACTTATAATACTGTGAGAAATACACAAATGTTTTGGTTTCCCAGTGCATACAAAAGTTATGTATACACTATACTGTAGTCTATTAAGTGTGCAATAGCATTATGTCTAAAAAACAATGCAAGAACATTGCGAGAATTATCAAAATGTGACACAGAGACACGAAGTGAGCACATGCTGTTGGAAAAATGGCGCCCATAGACTTGCTCATTGCAGCGTTGCAACAAACCTTCAATTTGTAAAAAAATGCAATATCTGCGAAGTGAAATAAAACGAGGTATGCCTGTACTAAAGAAATTCTATATAACAGCTAAACTAAACTAATGTTTTATGAGCCTTGCCCAAGCATAAGTATCCCAATGCAACAACGCTCATACATAATGAAGTGGAAATAAATATAAAGACACCAGAAAAGTTTCATAATTTCTTGTGTAATCTTCTAAACTTTTAATTCAGCTCTAACACAACAAGCCAAATTTTTATTTTACTAGCTGCAGAAACACTGAAATTTCACTTTAGTAGTTTATTGTAATATCTTTCTTACATCTTACTAGCATCTATATGAAATAAAGACAGTTTGGTCACCTGTTCTAACTTCAATAAAAACATATTTTTCTGACCTGTAAAAAGCGAATAAGGTAGCACAGAACCAGTCTGTTTAGTTCTGGAAGCCTTTGGACCAACGCTACTGCCATTTCTGGGTCTCCGTGATGGTTCACACACTCAGCATACATTGAATCTGGTATAAGTGGCTCATACAGCTCCCGGTACCATAACTTGAGCAGCGATGCTGGAGCATGGGCATCTGTAATATCATTTGGTAGCTCCCAGTGGTCAAGACGATTCTTTAATGAATTCACTTCATCCACATCTGCAGACACCCTGTCAGGAAAATTAATACAATGGTTGTAATATCTTGGACTTCATCCACATATCTTGGTTTTCTTAAAATTCAACAACTCATAAACTTGATTCTTTTGGGATGTCACACCATGTTTACAGATATTTCAGAGGTGCTGTCTTCCTCCATGAAATTTCATATTTCAGAAACTGACTTAATTTGTCTTCAAGCATGGGAGAACCTAATCCGAAGGGTTCACTTGAAAGAGACCAAACTAGTTCCTGAAATGAATTTTAGGGAAACCAAGACATGGATAACATTTTTACTGACTCTGACTCCACCTAAAATTCCTTCCAACTCCGACTCAACAGCCCTGATTCAATGTGTTTGTGGTTATTCTTTCATAACTTGTGGTATTTAAGTATTTAATATTTTTTATAACTTGTGCTAATTTTTTACTTGATTATACGAGGCGCGTCCCAAAAGTAAGTTTCCCTGGGGCCGTTTACAGAAACAAAACACAATTTCATGGAAATATTTATTGCAACAGATACAGCAAGTGTCCAGCTATTTTTCAACATATTCGCCACCGGAATTGAGACATTTGTCATACCGTGGGACCAACTTTGGAATCCCTGTGTCGTAGAAGTCTGCCGCCGGGGATTGGAACCACTGTGTGACAACCATCTCCGCCTCTCTGTCATTCTCAAAACGCTGACGCTGAC